AGTCCTTGGGTGAAAACCTGAACGGCCTAATCATCAGCAACTGGTGGAAGGTCCATCCGTTCCATTTGAAACCGGGACACGAACTCTCTGAGCATCTCATTATCCTTCTGTTTTACTTTGAAAAGGTCCGACTTCCTGGTCTCGACCTTGATAGCCCCGGCATGTGCTTTCACGAAAGAATCTGCAAGCATAGCAAATGAGTCAATAAAATTAGGAGGTAAGTTGTTATACCATATCATAGCTCCTTTTGATAGGGTCTCTCCAAACCTTTTCAACAAGACAGATTCGATCTCATCATCCTCCAAGTCGTTTCCTTTGATGGCACATGTGTAGGAGGTAACATGCTCGTTTGGGTCAGTCGTTCCGTTGTACTTAGGAATCTCGGGCATGCAGAACTTCTTAGGGATCAGCTTGGGAGCCGCGCTCGGAGGAAAAGGTTTTTGCACGAACTTCTTGGAATCCAGGCCTTTCAATATCAGTGGTGCGCCTAGGATTTGGTCGACCCTGGAATTGTAGGTTTCTACCTTTTTGTCATTTGCTTCGATTTTCTTCTCCCCCGATTCTACCCGTTTTGTCAGTTCCTCGAGCATCTTTATGATCTCAGGGTTAGTCCCTGATTCATTTTCATTTGACCTCTCTACGACTGGTTCATCCCTGGGGGTGACTTCCCGGGACGGATCGGGTTCAATTCTGCTCTGTGTGTGGTTTTGGTTCTGTAACTGAGTTATCGCTGCATGTTGAGCATGTAACATTTCGAAGATCATCCGTAAATTGATCTCGTCTCCTCCAATGTTTTGTGTATTTTGAGCTGTTGATCGGGCTCCACCACGGACGCTATTCTCAGGATCGGTAAGCAGGTTTGCATTGATAGCCACATGTGAATTAGCGTCAATCGAGTCCGCGACAAGAATTCTGATGGGATCAACGGGCAGTACCTCATCACTAGGCATTATGTTGTTATTTTCACCGTGATGGCCGGACTCATTGTCAACATGTAGGGGTGCTGATTGAGAATTTGACATTTTGAGCTTTAACCTGAAATTAGAGACACTTCAAAGAACAACTGTAAAGTAGTGTGTGTTATGGAAATTTGTATCAAATAACCACTATTATCCTTAGCCCAACGGTGAGAGCCAAACTGTTTACCCTCAAAATCGGATAATAATTAAATTTGTAAGTAGTTTTAAGGATACGCGGATTAACTTGATACAAAGTGATAAATTAAGTTGCCATTGAAATAAACAATGATAAAGTAAATTCAAACCACACAAATTGGACAGTTTCAATCTCGGAAGGTTAGCCGCCCTAGAGCCAAATGCACTTTGATCGGTATCACGATATAGAAGAATAAGAGCTTAAAGAGAAAAATAATAATGTATTGCTTTGAAATATGTGTTATAATGTACTAAATAAATTATCAAACCCCTTTTATATAGTAGATGAATCATACTTTAGGTACAATTCTATAAAAGGTAAAAAATCTCTTGATTTGCCGATTGTCAGTTCCTCATTGATACATGCTAAGATTCCCGCCGTAATATCTGACCGGTCACGGATATTTTGGTCTTCTGTTATGCTAATAATGTGTAACGACCCGACCGGTCGTTTTGAGTATTTGCACTTCACTCGATAGTTTACGGGCATGAGTAACTATGTATGATGTATTATGATTTATGTGAACTGTCGGTTTTGGTTTTCAGGTTATTCTGAATCGATTTGGAAGAATGAATTTCATTGTTGAAGCTTTAAAGTGGGAGAGTAGGCCAAGTTTGACTTTTTGTGAATTTGAACCCGGAACAGAGTTTTTAGGATTTGGCTTGAAATGGCGAAAATTGAATTTTTGGGAAGTTTGACCGGGGGGTTGACTTTTTGATATCGGGATCAGATTCCGATTCTGGAAGTTGGCGTAGGTCCGTAATGTTAAATATGACTTGTGTGCAAAATTTGAAGTCAATCGGGCGTAGTTTGGTATGATTCGGCATCGTTTGTAGAATTCAGAAGTTTAGAAGTTCTTTAGGCTTGAATCCAGGTGTAATCAGTGTTTTGGTGTTGTTTTGAGTGATTCGAAGGTTCGACTAAGTTCTTATTGGATTATATGACTTGTTGGCATGTTTGGTTGAGGTCCGGGGGGCCTCGGGTAGATTTCGGGTGGTTAACGGACTTGATTTTTTTGAGTTGATGAAGCAGCTGAAGAGTTGTTGCTACTGGTGTAACCGCACCTGTGGAGTGGGCACCGCAGGTGCGAGCATGCAGAAGCGTGGTATGAATCGCAGATGCGGGCAAGTCCATGAAGGACAGAGATCGCAGGTGCGAAGAATTTCCTGCACCTGCGGTAGCGTAGATGCGGACAAGTGGACGCAGGTGCGAGAGCAGCTAAGAGAGATTGACTCCGCAGAAGCGAGGCCAGGACCGCAGATGCGCGTTCACAGGTGCGGAACCTGGAGCGTAGGTGCGGGCCCTGGAGGTGCAAGTGACTTCCGCAGAAGCGGCATTTTCACCGCAGGTGCGACAATAGGCCCGCAGATGCGAAAAGTCTGGGCAGAAGGTTTATAAGCAAGGGTTCGCGATTTTATTCTTATTTCAATATTTTGGACTCGGACTTAGGCGATTTTGGAGAAGATTTTCGAGGTGATTACTGAGGTAAGCTTCTTGTACTCATTTTGGATCATAAAACTTATTTCCCCACTGATTTCCCTACCTAATTAGTGAGATTTTTAAGTGAAATTTGGGGGTTTAGGGTTTGAGAATTGGAGAGTAGATTTTGGGGATTTGGATGACCAAATGGTGTTGAATTTTGATAAATTTTGTATGGTTAGACTCGTGAGTGAATGGGCTTTCGGGTTTTGTAAATTTTGTCGGGTTCCGAGGTGCGGGCTCGGGTTGGGTGTTTGGCCAATTTTGCGCTTTTAATTCAAGATTTGATCTTTTTCAATCGGGATTGGTTCCTTTAGCATTGTTTGATGCATTTGAGTTGTTTTTGTTTAGTTTCGAGCCGTTCGGAGGTCGGAACGCGCGAGATGGCATCTTTGGAGCATCGCTTGGCTTGCTCGGCATTGGTATTGGCTTGTTCGAGGTAAGTAACTCTTCTAATCTTAGTGCTGAGGGTATGAAACACCGAAATACGTGTTATGTGATTAGTATTGAGGTGACACACATGATAGGTGACGGACGTGTGGGCGTGCACTATGTGAATTGGGACTATGTTGTTTCCATGGCACTGTACAGTGGTCCTACTTTGTTGATATCCGTGTTTTCACCATGTGATGAAGTAATTAAGTTGTCAATCATGCTAGATATCACGTTTAGGCATTATGCCGATACTGTTTGGACCAATAGTGGTCGTTTCTTACTGTCATCTCACTGATTTCATTGATATTTCATACTCAGTCATATCTATGCATTCATACCATATCTCAGTCTCAGTTATTATTTATTGATACATCGTATCATTGTTGTCGGGCTAGTTATAGTTTCATGATATTGTGAGCCTGTGAGTGAGACTGGAGAGATTGACGACTGAGTAAGGTCGAGGGCCCGAGTGAAAGTAATATTTTGGGATCGGACTGCACGCCGCAACAGGTTATATTGATTACAGTTATGGGATTAGACTGCACGCCGCAGCATGCTATATTGATTTATGCCTGGATCTGGCTTATGATAGAGCTTGGGCTGTAGGAGCCCCTCCGGAGTCTGCACACTCCTAGTGAGCGCGGTTGATTATATTGAGGGATGGATCTTCCCTAGACATGGATCTTGTCTGAAGCATTTATATACCTGGAGATGGATCTTCTCCATGGGGCCGGATTGGACTTCCTCGGTACTTAGTGACTGATGGTCAGTGATGTATATATTCCGGGATGGATCTTCCCTGGGCCGTATGGGGCATATACAGTACCGAGTGGTTGAGCATAATGAGTGAAAAGTGTGAGACAGTGAGATTGAGTACTCTGTGAGTGTGAGTACATGATTCATCTCTGAGATACATGGCATTGGCATGCACACATGACATACAGGCATAAGATGCATTTTTCTTCATGTTGTACGGTATCACGTCATTCATGACTTTTTACACATTGATATATGGGCATAGAGAGGTATTTCACACTTGCTATCTGGAAAGAGAATGAAACATCTTATTTATTGTGGAAAGGATATTTGGAAAAAAAAATTATAGTTTTCAAACTTACTCGTATTTTTGGCATTTTCGGTAAAAGATTTGGGTTTTCACTAAGATTTTGAAAAGCATGACTATTTTCTGGAACTATGAACGAGCTGAGCATTTTACTTCTGAGATACATCTTTTATTACTTGTATTATGCTGTTATGAACTGTTGTGGGATATTGGTATTGGACCCGACCTTGTATTAGCTCGTTACTACTTTCAACCTATGGTTATGTTTGTTACTTATTTAGTAAATGTGGTCAATTGTACTCATACTACATTTCTGCACCTTGCGTGCAGATATTGCTATGTTCGATGGGAGCTAGATTGAAGATGTACCTGCGCTCCGATTGTAGCTGTCTCTTGTTCGTGGTAGCTTTAGATCTGTAAAACTTTGTTTATGTACTTTTGAAAAAGACGATGTATTTATTTCATTTCCTCTTTATAAACTCTATTATTAAAAGTTCATGATTTGTATTACTAGTTTTTGGGGAATGTATAAGATTCAGATAATTTCTTCACTTAATTACTTTATTTATTGTTATTGGAATTGGTTAGTGATTAACTGGCTTACCTAGCGGGTTGGATTAGGTGCCATCACGACTAGTTGAATTTTAGATGGTGACAAAATGTTTCTTCGAGCTATCGATTCTGGGATCACGGCCTCGATTTTCTCGAAGGCAGGCGTTCCAACCCCGGGTTCTAGCCCGGTGGGACTTGGGGTCGATTCTCAATCCTTTATTGTCATGTTCCGAACCTGGCCTACCATGTCGTAGGCGAGCTCGATTTCGACCGTAAACAAATGACTATAAGAAGTGTACTTTTGAAAAGTATTGGCTTCTCTTAAATACCCTAAACTTCTTTCTTGCAAGAACTGGCCTTCAGAGATCTTCAATGATGTTTGTTCAACCTCAGAGTTACTCTAAAATACATGGCATAAGCTAGGAACTCTGTGCACCATAGCGCCTCTGCCTTTGCTGGAAGGAACATAAAGCCTCCAAAAATTCAGTTTCTCCAAAATCAGGCCAATGTGAATGTGAAAAGAACAGTTCAGTGTAGGCCAACTGCCAGAGTAAGAAATTGCTAAGTCTTTGCTCCCCACTAGTCCTTATAAGTAAATCAGGACACGGAAAATCAGTACAGCTTGTTTGTAACTCCTGCTCTACAAGGAAACTATCTACGTCTTTGGGTTCGATAACGCCATCCTTCACTTTTTGAGCAATGTTTTGAAAAGCTTGTACAACATCATACTGTCCACTGTAGTTGACTGCAACAACGAGGTGAAGTCGTGAATTTTCCTTAGTAGTCTTCACAGCTTTATCTATTAAGTCCTGCAATGACTTGGGGAGCTTACTGGAGTCTCCAATTATAGACATCCGAATCCCTGCTCTGTAGAAATATAATAAATCACATAACGAAACTCTGTAACAACTCAAAGTTAAAGCTCTAAGAAGGAAAGAAGAAAGGGCATGCAAGTATGTGTATTTGGACAGGTGAAAATCAGAATTTGTACAACGAACTGATGAAGTTGCAACTATAAACATAAAGTGCCTATTAAGTCAAAGTTTGTGATAAACCGGTGTTAACACGTTAAGCATTCATCTTGACAGTAATTTCAACTAATTACTGATCTTAGCAAAGCAATTACACTAACAAAAGTCAGTTTTAAAATCAACCAGTCTCAACACGTTAAGCATTCATCTTCACAGTAATTTCAACTAATTAATGATCTTAGAAAAGCAATTACACTTAACATTGGGTGTTTGGCGCCTTCAACAAATTAATGATCTTAGCACACAACATGAATTACTAAATCCATAGCCTTATAAACCATGTTTTATGTACTAAAAGGTCATTTTGGTTCTTGGTCTATTTACACAAAAGTTATAATACGACGACATTGTGCGGTGAATAATAATGTAAGGATTTTTATGTGGTGAAATAAAAACAAAGATGTTATGCCGGAACTGTCTACTAATCTACTTTAAGGGAACTTTTGTCTTTAGATACTCTTTATATGAGTTATTATTTATTTGATTTTCTAATACTCCTTTGGATCTTTATTAATTAGATAAAACTTAAATAAGCAACTTCGGCAGTATACAAGTAATAGGAGTATTATGTAGAAGTATATGCTCTAAATAAACCAAATTTGTAAACTAATGAATGAATTAATCCAAATGTATGTTGTTTATAAGCTTTATTATCTTTCTAATAAAAAAAAAGAGATATTAAATCTAAAGTTGTTGTCATTATATTAAATCTCTTTGTAAATAATGCCTTCGAGCGAGCAAATTTACTAGTATTAATAGTCCACATTCTACCCTTATAAAACATAGATTCTCACATAAATTACGCTTGTGTTAATAAGCTAGAGTATAATATATCAATCCAAATGTTTGATTAGTTAACTAGAATTTTATTTCTAAACTGAACGTATCAGTTATGCAAGATTACACTAGTGATGCTGAGTTTTAACGCTACAAACCAAACAATGAATTAGTTATAATACGTAAATTTATGTCAGCATTAGAGTTTAATATACCTCCCAAAATCTTCAAGTTCATTTTTTAGCCCTCTTTCGAACAAGCCCATCAAAAAATCAACTTCCATCTGCAACACAACAGAAAAAGTATCAACAACAGCAAAAACAAATAATACCCAATATCAGTAACCCAACATTTAAAGATGAACTTTACTTTAGGACGGAACCAATTATCGGAGGAAAAAGCAAAGACAGTAAGAACACTAATTCCCCAGTCGCAACACAGCTGAACAAGATTCCTAAGTGCTCGAACACCCGCTTCGTAACCTAAGGCAATAGGCAATCCTTTCATTTTAGCCCACCTTCTATTCCCATCCATTATCACCGCAACATGGTTCGGCATTAATTCTTTCCTCAGTGGCGGAGGCAATAAGGCAGCTTTCTCACTGTCGATTTGGCTTATGGCGGCGTTTTGAGCAAAGGCGAGTGGATGATTAGATAGTCTTGTTGGTATTTTGAGAGAGATTAGAGAGTGGTTAGTTATTGATTTTGGTTGAGAACTAAATCTGGTGGGCGAATGGAAGAGTTGCCGGTGCTGGAGGGAGAACGCCATTTTTGGGAGGGGAGGCAAAAAGAGCTCTTTCTCCCCAACTTTTTGGAGTTGGAAACTTTGGAGTTTGGAGGGAGTTGATTTTCAAGAATTTTGTTGGTGATAATAAACGAACGGCTGTGAGAAGCTCTTGGCCACAAATTCCTCTCCCTAATAAACGAATCGCTATAATATTTTTCTTATTTTGAACAGTATTTTTATTTATATTTATCTTTACATTAAAAATAATTAAATTTTGATTACTTTTGAAACTGTAGCTATTTATCAATAATCACTTGTAAATCTGATTATTTTTAAATTTCAGTTGTTAAAATAGCACGGGCTAGCCAGTTTTCGAACTGGTAATTGAAAAATAGCCAGCGTTTGCAAAGTCATTAAAAAATAACTATTATTTTGGCACAACATGAAAAATTTCAGCATAATATACTAGAGAGTATAGCACCTATGTATGAACTTCCAGCATATTATGCTGGAACTCCAGCATACGGAAAGTTCCAGCATAATATACTGGAGATTGGAGCACCTGTGTAAGAGCTTCCAGCATATTATGTTGGAACTCTAGCACACGAAAAGTTCTAGCATAATATATCGGTGATTGGAGCACCTGTGTATAAACTTCCAACATATTATGTTGGAACTCCAGCACATTATAAAATTCCAGCGTGTTATGCTGGGAGTTCACATGTAAAAAATTTAAACTCCAGCGTATTATACAGGAATATCTTCCGTATTTTGAATAGTGTTTTTATTCAGATTTACGTTTATCTGAAAAGTGGCTAAATTTCGATTACTTTTAAAACTGTGGCTATTTATCAATTACCACTTGTAAATCTGGCTACTTTTGAATTTCGGTTGTTAAAATAGCACAGGCTAGCCAGTTTTCGGACTGATAATTGAAAAATAACCAGCGTTTACAAAATTATTAAAAAATAGTCATTATTTTGCTACAACACAGAAAGTTCCAGCATAATATACTAGAGAGTGGAGCACATGTGTATGAACTTTCAGCATATTATGCTGGAACTCCAGCACACGGAAAGTTCCAGTATAATATACTAGAGATTGGAACACCTGTGTATGAGCTTCCCGCACATTATGCTAAAACTCTAGCACACGAAAAGTTCCAGCATAATATACTGGTGATTGGAGCACTTGTGTATGAACTTCCAACATATTATGTTAGAACTCTAGCACATTATGATATTCCAGCGTGTTATGCTGGAAGTTCACATGTAAAAAATTCGAACTCCAACATATTATGCTGGAATATTTTCCGTATTTTGAAAAGTGTTTTTGTTCAGATTTATCTTTATATGAAAAGTGGTTAAATTTCGATTACTTTTAAAACTGTGGCTATTTATCAATTACCATTTGTAAATCTGACTACTTTTGAATTTCGGCTGTTAAAATAGCACGCTTTAGCCAGTTTTGGGACTGGTAATTAAAAAATAGTTAGCGTTTGAAAAGTCATTGAAAAATAATCTCTATTTTGCTGTAACACGGAAAGTTCCAGCATAATATACTGGAGATTGGAGCACTTGTGTATGATTTTTCAGCATATCATGCTGCAACTCTAGCACACGGATAGTTTCAGCATAATATACTGGAGATTGGAGCACTTGTGTATGAGCCTCCAGCATATTATGCTAGAACTCCAGCACATTATGAAATTCCAGCATGTTATGCTAGAAGTTCACTTGTAAAAAATTCGAACTCGAGCATATTATGCTGGAATATTTTTCGTATTTTGAACAGTATTTTTGTTCAGGTCTATCTTTACATTAAAGTGGCTAAATTTCGATTACTTTTGAAACTGTCGCTATTTATCAATTACCACTCAAATCTGGCTATTTTTTAATTTCGATTGTTAAAATAACACGGTCTAGCCAATTTTCGGAGTGATAATTGAAAAATAACCAGTGTTTGCAAATTCATCGAAAAATATCCATTATTTTGCTGCAACACGGAAAGTTCCAGCATAATACTGGAGATTGGAGCACGTGTGTATGAACTTCCAGCATATTATGCTGGAACTCCAGCACACGGAAAGTTCCAGCATAATACTGGAGATTGGAGCACGTGTGTATGAACTTCCAGCATATTATGCTGGAACTCCAGCACACGGAAAGTTCCAGCATAATATACTGGATATTGGAGCACCTGTGTATGAGCTTCCAGTATATTATGTTGGAACTCTAGTACACGAAAAGTTCCAGCATAATATACTGGTGATTGGAGCACATGTGTATGAACTTCTAACATATTATGTTGAAACTCCAGCACATTATGAAATTCCAGCGTGTTATGCTGGAAGTTCACATATAAAACATTCGAACTCCAGCATATTATGTTAGAATATTTTCCGTATTTTGAAAAGTGTTTTTGTTCAGATTTATCTTTACATAAAAATTGGCTAAATTTTGATTACTTTTAAAATTGTGACTATTTATCAATTACCACTTGTAAATCTGGCTATTTTTGAATTTCGGTTGTTAAAATAGCACGGTCTAGCTAGTTTTCGGACTGGTAATTGAAAAATAGCCAGCATTTGTAAAGTCATTGAAAAATAGCCACTATTTTGCTGCAACACAGAAAATTACTGCATAATATACTGGAGATTGGAGCACATGTGTATGAGCTTCCAGCATATTATGCTGGAACTCCAGCACACGAAAAGTTCCAGCATAATATATTGGAGATTAGAGCACCTGTGTATGAGCTTCCAGCATATTATGCTGGAACTCTAGCACATTATGAAATTCCAGCATGTTATGCTGGAAGTTCACATGTAAAAAATTCGAACTCCAGCATATTATGCTGGAACTCTAGCACATTATGAAATTCCAGCATGTTATGCTGGAAGTTCACATGTAAAAAATTCGAACTCCAGCATATTATGCTGGAATATTTTTCGTATTTTGGACAGTGTTTTTGTTCAGATTTATCTTTACGTTAAAAATGGCTAAATTTTGATTACTTTTGAAACTGTGTTCTATTTATCAATTATATCTTGTAAATCTGGCTATTTTTGAATTTCGGTTGTTAAAATAGCACGGGCTAGCCAGTTTTCGAACTAAAAATTAAAAAATAGCCAGCGTTTGCAAAGTCATTGAAAAATAGCCATTGTTTTGCTGCAACACGAAAAGTTCCAGCATAATATACTGGAGATTGGAGCACGTGTGTATGAACTTCCATCATATTATGCTGGAACTCCAGCACACGGAAAGTTCCAACATAATATACTGGAGATTGGAGCACATGTGCATGAGCTTCCAGCATATTATGCTAGAACTCAAGCACATTATGAAATTCGAGCATGTTATGCTGGAAGTTCACATGTTAAAAATTCGTATTACAACATATTATGCTGGAATATTTTTCGTATTTTGAACAGTGTTTTTGTTCAAATATATCTTTACATTAATAGTGACTAAAGTACAATTATTTTTGAAATTGTGAGTATTTTTCAATTAATACTTGTAAATCTAGCTATTTTTGAATTTCATAGACTCGAAGTAAAAATAGTTTTTGAAGTAAAACGAAAAAATATATTTGAAATTGAATTGTATTTGGACATGTATTGCACTTGAAAAAAATATTTTAGTTTACCGGAAGAAAAACATTGATTACTTGAAAAAGAAGTAAAAATTTACTTTTTAAAATTTAAAACTGGTCTTCAAAAATTTAGTTAAATGAAAAATATTTTGAAGATCAGTTTCGTAAACAATTATGGATGAACGGGTCCTAAGAGTGTCAATAGTTTTCCACCAATATTCGTGTAGCATGAAAACTAATTAGGGGGGCGTTCCCACCAATATAAAAAATTTGTAAATTATCCACCCGTCACACAATTGTAAAAGACTTAGTTGGATTTATGAAACGTATCATTTTACCGTATAAGAATATTACAATTATAATCTAACAGTTAGATTATTTACTCTTTTTGTCACCCCTTAAAGGTTTATAGTTTTCTAGATATTCTTGATTTTTCTTTCTATAGATATAGTTATTCGAGCAGAAACTATATTTTAAAAAAAACATTTGTTGGAAAAACATGCCAACAAAGAACGGTTTCTTTATGTGCATATGCGTAATAAATCCAATAATAAAGGCATGTAACAAATAGACTCAAGGCGTTAATGATCTGATTTTTCAGAATAATGTAAACTTAAAAACATAAGGCGAAAAAATCTAATCGAAAACATATAGCCGTAAATTGCAGAAGGCTATATGCATTTTTATAGCATAACCACATGTATATATATCATATTTCTCAAAGTTGAACTCTATTTTAGTCCTCTTCATTTCTGTTTTCGAAGAGTTTAAGAAAGCTACTCTAAGAATGTAACTGTTTTATATTTTTATGTTGTGGAGAGTTCTCCAAACAACTGATTTTATCAACGGAAAAAAAAAAACTTTTTTCACTATTTTGTGGTCGACAGAGAAGACCTTCCAAATATTCGCACTTGTCGATTAGGCCATACTGCTTTGAAAAGTACTCTACATTATTAGCTTCGAAACATGTGGTACAATCAATGACTGATTAGCTACTTGCGATGTAAAGTGTAGCTTGTAAAACTAGAAGACAGTTTGGTATATTCAAGTCTGATAATTAAGTTGTGGAAAGTGTAAGTTTCTTTCTTACTGAGCAATTTTTGAAGAAGAAAAACGGGCTTGACAATATACTTCCTTTCTGAGCATTACTGGTACACCTATTGTGATTCTTAATTTATATAAGAATATTAAGAATCCCAATGCTTATTATATTCATACATTCGTTCCATAAGAAAGTTTTGAATTCCAATTAATTGATCATTTCTCATTCAGTAAATCTTAGTATCTCTTTTAAATGAGTTTCTAAAGAGTCAAAATATGTACTAGTAACGGACTACTATTCTATGCAAGGGATTCCAAATTTCCAATACAATTATCAATTAGCTTTATGTATATATGTATACTAGTGAGAGTATGCCCGGGCCCAATAACTATCTAATATTGTTGTTAAGTGTCACTCACTTTTGTATTTAAATTCGTCATGTTATGATTATATATGGTAAGAGACTTATGTCTTTAGGAGCTGCTTATAGCA